AGTTACGTGATAACTTTCGAAGGGAGAGTTAGATCCTGGTGAAATTTTCCACACAGTTCAATTTCATTAATCTTTCGGTCGAGTTCAAAGATGGATCAGATTGGATGGGCTCGTCCGAGTTATTGTAAAAATGCTGATTTATTCCTATGATTTTCGATGGAAAGATCGTTATATCGTCGCTTTTGTAAGAAACTTTTCCATCGGAGTTGAATAAAATCCCACCTGAATCATCTATAAGACAAGCTAAATTAAAGAAGAAGTAATTCGAACATTGTCAATGACCTCATGAGCCCATAATTCGAGTTTTTTTAATCGGATCAGAGATATGCTACTTCGAGTTTCTCTGGATGAGAGAACTTGAATCTGTACTAGATTTGCTTCAAAGTCTCATCGGTTGATCAATAACCATTTAAATCAACTTATGACAAAAAATGGTTCTCTTAGAATAATTCAAGACGAGGGGTTCGAATGTGAGTTCTATTCTACTGTAAGTCTTTGTGGAGGGGCAGGAGTGAATAGAAGTCGTGTTTATAGAAAAGGTGTCTGATGATAATTTTGCTGCCGATGCATTCTAGAATGACTCAATCTGCCTCATTCACTTTTTGTAGTACACTAAACTTTCGGATAAAATCCGAAGTTTCCGCATTTATTTTTTGACATTGATTCAGATTGTTTTTTTTGAAATAAATTATGTGATATGCATATACATATATATATATATGTATAGAATTTTATTCAAAACTGATGTCCTATAAATATCCTATATAGGAATAGATGATCCTATATAAATGGCGTTTTAAAATCCTATATATTCCTATATGTTTACAAAGTGTCGCTACGAAGCCAGTCGATAGGTCGTCATGCAAAAAGTTTACGACAACAGCACTGTTTGTTCCCTCCGAAGTCTTAAAAAACCTTTTTTTGATATTTTCTTAGCTTTCCACTATTTAAATGTGTTAATCTTCATTTTCCTAGTAAAAAATAAAGACTCGTATTTCAATATTGTGTCACAGATGGAGTACTTCGATCCGTTCTAATCTTGAGATGTGGGAGAGCCTTTGTTGTCTAGAACGATCGTAACATGGATCTCATCCAACAATGAAACTAAAGGATTGAAGTTTACGTACTTTTTATTCAATAGCAGGACTTAAGCCATTACTGCAGGTAATTCTCCATTTCAATAGAACAAAAAGTAAGATGGTACTTATTATTTATCTTTTTAGAATTTGTTAAATATTCTTTTTCCGTGATTTCAATTCTTGTGTTAAAATAATTTTTTCTAAGACAACATGTTAAATATCATCTGTTGTTTTTTTTCTTGAAAGATGTTTTTTTTTTTTTGTTGAATTATACAGATAACACGTATGTTAACAATCCAGTATCGCATGAACGAAGCCATCATGAGTTGGTCATCCAATGAATTTTATGAAGGAAAATTAATTGCTGATGAATCAGTTAAATCTCATCTTTTAAAAGATTTATCAAATATTTTAAAACGTGATAGTGAATGTGAAATAGATGATGAAAACTTATCTCAATGTCCATTATTTCTTATTGATACAACAGGTTATGATATGCCAGAAATATCTTGTGATGATGAAAATTCTCGTGGCAATGAAGGTGAAGTTGCACTTGTTAGTATTCATGTACAAGAATTAATTGAAAACTATGGTGTATCTATTGATCAAATTGGTGTCATAACACCATATAATATGCAAGTACAATTATTACGTCAAAAACTTTTAAATAAATATCCAACATTAGAAATCAAATCAGTTGATGGTTTTCAAGGACGAGAAAAAGAAGTTATTATTATTTCAATGGTTAGATCGAATTTACATGGTTAGTAAAAAAACCAAACAAATAAGAAATCTCATAAATAATTTCGTTTTTCTAGGTGAGGTTGGTTTTCTATCAGATTCTCGTCGAATCAATGTTGCTATCACACGTGCACGTAGACATTTATGTATTATTTGTAATGTACAAACAGTTAGTCATGATCCATTTATAAAACGACTAATTGATTATATGCTTGAGAATGCACATGTTCGCTCGGCATTTGAACTTATTGATGGTATTTATAATTTTCATCTAAATAAAATTCAACATTTTTTTTTGTTCTGTAGACAATAACTTTTTTCAAGGAACAATTTTATCAAAAAAGTCAACAGTATCTTCTAAGACTAAACAAACAAAACAACAATTGAAAAAATCTAAGTAAATAAATAAAAAATAATTCCATTCTTTTTTCTACATCAATATTTTAGACAACAAAGTAATCAACGTTCTGAAGCAACTAGTACACTTGAAAATGTTCTTACTAATATTCTTGATCAACGTATTGAAGCTTTTCTTAATGATCCTAATGTAGAAAAATTACAATTTGAAGATGGTCTATCACCATTTGGTCGACGTTATGTACATGAAGTAAGTGAGTAAAAAGATTTTCAAAAGAATCTATATTCAAACAAATTATCTAGCTTGCTGAAAAACATAATTTACAACATATTAGTGACGGTGTTGGCGATCAAAGACATATAACTATTATGAAAAAAACTTCAGTTGAAACTATTAAAACAAAGAAAATCATTGAAAATAATCAAGCAGAAGAGGAAGAAGTTAATGATGATGATGATGATGATGATGGAAAAATGAATGAACAATTCCGTTCATTTTCTTTATTAGAAGAAGAAAAGAAAAATTTAAGTCAAATAATTGATAAAAGTACAAAATTATCAAAGAAAATTTCTGATCAAGATTTAATATCAAACGAAAAGGAAGAAAATAGAGTGAGAAAAAAACTTTTTTCTTGATGAACTTCTTATTTTCATATGAACAAACGTATTCTAGATTGAATCACCTATACTAGATACTGCTAATCTTTGTCGATATTGTCATAAAGATATTCCACCGCAGAATCGTCAGTTACACGAAATATATTGTCAACGTGTCAATCCATTATCTTCAGTGGCTATTTCAACTACAAATGAAACATCTGTAAGACAAACGTTTCTTTGAAATCAAGTATGTTTATTCTAATTTTAGGAAACTGAATCTTCGAAATTAAATGTTGCTTCAGAACGTCCTAAAACTGTTAAGAAAAAAGAAAATAAATTAGCATCAATGAATGCTGAAGCACCTATTAATGATTTATTGGAAGCAGCTCGTCAACAAGATAATATATGTAATGCACATCGCTGCAAAGTAAAAATAACTTTATTAGGGCAACTTTGTTCATATTGTAATCGTCGTTATTGTTTTGAACATTCAATGCCTGAAGTACATGGTTGTGGTCATCAAGCACGTCAAGATATTCGACAAACACATATTTCAACCCATGCAAATGGTAGACCTGTTTATGAAAGTTCGTCGATAAAAAAAGAAAAGAGACCATACTTAGAAAGAAAATTGCAAGATAGGATTGCATCGAAAGAAAATGAAAGAAAGAAAAAACAAAACTGATGGTTTTTATTTTATTTTATATTAAAATAAATTATAAAATTGAATACTTTGTTAAGTTATTGTTGTATCATGAATTCTATTTATGAGCTATATCATTGCTTTTTAATAATCATTGAGAAGTTTATTACTATTGACTTATAAAAAACATTTATGGTAAAGTTTCATAGTAAAAACCTAGAAAATACTGAAATTTGCCCGTTTATAGTTAAACTGACTATATGCTAGGTTGCAGTTTTTGTTCCAATGCAAACGAAGATTTTCTGAATGAAACTTAACTTCAATTAGAGGAATGATATTCCCAACTATTGATCTCTATGCGAACTTTGATGAAATTAAGAAAATTATTAAAAAAAAACTATGTTTATTCATATAATTTGGTATATGTTCTTATGGTTATCTTCTCTTACTTGAAAGAAAAAGACATGAACTTTCTGTGATGTGTTTTTCAATGAGTATATTTAAAGGTTTTTTCCTTTCAACTTAGAACTTCATTTAGTTAAAATATAACATCATACATCCTGCATATCAATCGAGGGAATGCACGGAAGTCTTTGGTGCGAACGATATTTGAAATGCTAGTGCAACCTATTTTTCATTAACTGACAAATGTTATCAATCTCAGAATGTTAAAATTTGCCAGTACATAAGTTATACAATGCTGAACGAATCTTAATTTTTTTTTTATTATTAGCAGTGAAAACCTCATGACCATGTCGGTCCTAAAGGGATAGTGTAGCTTTTACAATTAACAGGTTACATATAAGAGAGAAAAGCAAGCATAAGCGGAGCAGAGAAAGATAAGAACGGAATATTATGCATGTCTTATGTGGCCATTCAACGAAACATTGAAACACGACCTTCCAACGTTAAACGAAATATAATATGGGTGGGTGTGGGGTGTGGGTGTAGATACTCATGATAGGCACACCCACACGCACACTTGCGCCCGTTATCAGTAGGACTATATATTAAAATTTGTCTATTATGTGTTCATATAGCTATATTATCTGTTAATAATTCATTGATTTCACATTAAAAACGTCATTCTTGTTTTTAAATAATACTTATGGTTTCACTATACCCTTTTTATTCCCACTATATTCGGGATAGATGGAATCCACTTCTTGCCTTTTGAATGTTAATCATGTGTAAAATATTATGATGTATCATAAACAGAGAAAACTTAGATAGATTTACAATATCAAATCGTAGCACTTGCTGACTCCTAGACCTCATCTAATGCTCAAATTCTTTTAAAATTGTAACTTCCAAAAATAGTTCTCCACATACGGTTATCAATGCTGAGTGAATAAAATAACAAACTTTCAAATTTTGAAGATGAATGAGAAATGGGTTATTCCATTTAAAAAAGAAAATAGCCATATAAAAAGAAAAACAGACCCCTGGAATTTTTCGAAATTTTTTTCGATAAAAACTTAAGTGTACAATATCAGAAATGAGATATTCTTAATCACCTTGAAAAGTTCTATTGAATGACAAAGAAAAATAAGCTGAAAAAACAAAGTGATATGAAAAGCTTAAATTGGAAAATTTGATCTATTTTCAAACTTTAATTTTTCTAAACTACAAAATAAAATTAATAGCATAAAAGAAATGATATTGAATTTATCGATATATTTAATATAAAAGAAAAAAGAACACAAATTGTAAAAGATAGAATATAAAAAAATAAAAATCATTAATGTTAAAGAAAAATAAGAAAATACATGATATATAATTTTATAGTCACGAATAAAGAATATAATGTGTAATGAACTAATGGTCACATATTGAAAAAAAAAAGTTAAAATCGTTGGGAATCGGTAAATTCAGAAAATATTTTGCTTCTAGTCAGAGGTAGTATTACGCGCCGTTCATTAGCTTGCATTTTCAATTGACGTGATTTCTTTATGCTGTTAATTTGATTTTTAACATCTGGTATAGATTTTAATTGATTGATTAATTCATATAATTGACTAAGTGACAATTTTTCTTTTAAACCAACTAATTTTTGTCGATTCTCCGTACGCTTTTGTTTTATCGAGTGTAATGTTTGTAGTATTCTTTTATTTATATTGTGGTTTATATTGGAAACTTCGCAAATCTGTCGCTCTTCTTCCAGAAAATGTTCGAGCATCAGCGCAAATGGATCCTTTGAAGTCAACAATTCTTTTTGTCGTAAGAAATGAGTTAGTCTATCACATTTGAATAGAAGATCAAAAAAAGAATTCATTAACTGATCAGCAGATATATCAATTGCTTGCGAAACCAACTCATGTTTAACTGTATGTTCAATCAAAAAATGTTCTTCATCAAAAGGGCACAAACAATCTTTAGCGTCTTCCTTTTTATTGAATTCATATTCAATGATGTAAAATTGTTCACCATTTACAATCTTACTTTCTACACAATTGGAACACAATGTACTTCCAAGAAAATTTGAATTTAATATCATTCTATGATTAACTATTCCTGTCTCGCGTAATTTCCAATTGTAAAGTATTGAACGTAATGTTTCCATAAGAGGTCGTGAAAGCATTGTGATTTCAAGTACAGCTTTTCCTATTGATTGCCAATCATTTAAATAATATGGTTCGTACTTTCGAATACATCGAAGTAAACGTATAGATTCAGTCACTGATGTTGTCCAACTGCTGATAGATTCTTGTATTACAAATTCGTCAAAATTAACATGACATTTTCTAGCTGCTAAATATCGAAATGATTCACTATCAAAACAAAATGTGTTTTTCTTTTGAAATGGAATCTCATTCTGATATTCTTTTTCCATCATTTGTCGAAGTAATAGACCAGTATTACCAGGTGCAAAAAATGTTGATCGAGCATTCGTAAAACAGAAAATAACATTCTTATAAAAAATTGGTGTTAAATAAGTTAACACTTGTTTAACACACGTACGAAAAAATATATTCAATTGAGAATTATTTGGTTTGAATAATAAACAAATAGCATTTAAATGTGATAAATTATTAACATATGTTAATATATGATCAAGATTCTTTTCATCTTGAACAAGACCACGTGTATCACCCATACCTGGTGTATCAATTAAACGTAAACGTGTTGTCTCATTTAAGTCAAATACATATGATTTACATTGTTGTGTTACTGATTGACCTTGATGTTCATGATTTTCATTGGAATCAACATCACCAAATTTAACCATGAATTCATTAAATTGATCACCAGTTGTAACAAGAAATGAGACTGGAATTAGTACAATTGATTCATTTTTTTCAGCTTGTTCAAGAGTATCGAATACTAAGTAATTAACGAAAGCATTTATAAAAGTTGATTTACCAACTCCTGTTTCACCCATAAGTAATACATTGAATTCAGTTACTCGTGATGGTTTTGTTTCTGCTTGAGGTGAAGATGTTAATGGTGTTTTGTCTTGTGGAATTGGTGGTAAAGGATGTGCTATTGAAAAAGATAAATATTCGATGACAAAACATGTTAAAATAGGAACACAACATGATGAAATTTAGGCGACATAAAACGAGCCTGATCAGTTTGATTACATATCTTACCTCTAGGATTCTTACGTGGAGAGTTTGATAATGGTTGTATTGGTAAATCTCTTACAATGAAGTCTTTTAATACTAGCTGATAGTGAGTGAAATCGACGTAGATTAAGGAAATATGATCGTTTGAGTTCTGTCGTTTTGCAATTATGTCTTCACGGATTCGGTTCCATCTATCTGATTTTTCTCGTTTCAATTGATCACTCGAATACCATACAATAACAGGATGATCACTTGTCGAAAAACGGCTCTTTAGTGTTTCATCTATATCTTCAATAGTGGCAACATCATTTGAATGCTGAAGAATCTTATGAACATTGAAGTAAGTAATATTTTCATCCTGGAGTCTTTTGATAAGTTTGCCTTTCTCTAACCACTGTTCTACATCTTTATGAAAATTATCAATAGCAGATTTCTTCAATGATGAATAGCGTTGGTCTGATATCATATTGGTCATATCCATCGATTTACCTTTACCTCGACGAACATCAACTAGTATATTTCCAAGTTTTGTCCGATATTCGTCATATTGGCTGAGCAAGATACCAAGTCGATCTGGTATATCGTGTGGCCATAGATCGGATATAAGATTGTCACAGTCGTTGAAACGATTTTTGAATAATTGTTGAAGTTTCTTCAATCGATTATCTAACTGAATTATCATAATTCCAATTTGTTCAATTTTAGAGCTATCATCATTTGACAGAAAATATGGTTTGGATAATGATTGGTTTTTAAAGAGATATTCTAGTGAATGCATTCTATAAAGAAGCGGAACATGAAAATTCTTATTGTCCTGCCATTTTTTTAATTGATCGAGAACAGTTAAGAGCGATAATGTATTCGAATTCTTGGTACATGTTTCAGAACCAAATATAGCCACATTAGATAGTTTATTGATTTCATGTTTTTCATTATTGATGAGTTCAGATCGTTTGTCGAGATCGAAAGGTTGATTCCATATTTTATAGAGTAAATTTTCGATTTGATCAACAGATTCAGTCCTCAAAACTTGTATAATGCATAAGATTTCGAAACCCCATGTTATTTCAGTAACCATATGAGTTGCATTGTTTAAATCAGATGGAGGTGAAATGGTTCTGTGTGCTTTTCTATCTGTAATAGCACCTAGCTTCTCTTCTCTATGTTTATATGTATCATATAGAAAAAGTGTGTATTCATCAATTGGTCCATTATAATTAATAACAGAACTAATTCCTGATGGTTTAACCAAACCAAAAAGAATACTTTGCAATAGTGCGTCATGAAATTTTATTGCTTTCAGAACATCTATGGCGTTGTTTATATGTGTACCTCGAAATATTTGACATGCCGAGTCTATAGAATCTTTTGAATTTTCTAAGTTTTGAACAGAACAATAACCAACGAAAGCATCAGATGATTGATCATAAAATGATCCCAATCGACCAGAAACATCGATTGCTTTTCGTTCAATAGAATGTTCAACTGATGCCATTTGATATCGAAGTAAACTAGATTAACAATCACTTGATTACATCCTCCAGTAAATATTCATTGAAATTATTTAGAAAAGTAATCATCAACTTTTTCTTATATTTCATACGATTAGGGTGTGGGTGTGGGAAATGAGAGACCCACACCCACACCCAAATAATCTTAGCTAAAGACATTGGTGTGGAGTGAGAGTGGAGGATGGCTGTAAAAAGGAACGTTAGTCTTATTATCAATAATTACTCATATCTACATCCTATGTGAACACAGAAAACATGAAAGAAGCCTCGCCCTCTCTTCTTGAGATGGAATCAAGGCCTCTAGAAGTGTCTTCTGTCAAACTTTGTGCTATAAAATTCTTTTTAAAATTCTTCTAACAAAATCTATGTAATAGCGAACAATAAATGAAATTGAGTGCTATTGTTTTATCTTTTGTATCGTCATCTGGATCTCAAAAATCCTCCTGCTCTGATAATCTATCTAAAGGGATCTTGTTTCTGATACTCAATCATCTTTTCTCATAATCTCCATTTCTTTGAATAGTAGTTTTGGAAATAGATCGTTCCAAATGATGTCAATATATGAAATAATCATTCTCCTGTTCAGACGAAATTGACAACTTATCCATTCTAGTCAAGCTGTTATAACAATCAAATATCAGTGAAATATTGTGTGCAAAATAATTCATGTTGTTATGGTTGTCAACACTTTTCTTCTTGTAGATAATATGTGGACGATACTTTTACTACTGCGGGATTGAATAAACAGAAGCAAGCATTTGATAAAGTGAATGCTTTGCTGAAACATGCATTATTTCAATCATAAATAGTTACAACAAGTTTTTTAGTGATACAAATAATGAGAAAAAACTAATTTAATTGTTACTGAAAAATTCTACTCCAACTGTAACATTCTTAACGACTCAAAAAAGAATCGTAACATTTCCACAACATTTTTTGATATTGTGAGAACCTCGGCACTGAGCCTTCTCCCTCTTGGAGAAGATTTCTAGTGTTGCCGCTAGTCACCAAAGCTGCTAATGAAAGTATTAAAATGAAAATAGATCGAAAATACCTAATTTTGGAAAATTATATTAAACTGCAAAGTAATGATTCAAGTTTTTGTTTGCTTTTTAGGTGAATTTCACAATATATCATTTGTTTGACGCAATTGTCATTTCAATATCAAATTCTAATTCAAATATTGAATGACTGAAAACTAATTAAAAATAGTTAAATTTGAAATAAGTATTCGGTACTTTCATTATGTTATTAATCGAAAAGAAATGTTTTTGCTAAGTGTGGATTTGAAAATTATATTCGTTAATAAATTGAGAAATAACTATTTTATTAATAAATAAGATCTAATTATAACTACTGATTGAAATTTGATTTAAACGCGTGCCGATTTATTTTCAACAACAGAACAAAACTAATAAAAATAATCGTTTGTTTCTCCATATGGGTTCAAAAACTTCTAATGATTCGAAATAAAAGTTCATGCGCTCCGACATATCCAATGATATAACAGTAAACGTGGGAAATATTCGAATTTTTCGACAATTTAGTATTCATCTCTTTTTATAAATTTAAATTTGATGAAGCTACACATTAAATAATTAAGCCTTTGAAATATTTATGATAGCGAAAATTTGGGGTGAAATGTTTATGAATAATTCTTCCCTATTTTGTATTATGTAAAATAAAAAAACCGAGTAAATGTTCCTTTTGAAATAGAGCGACAAATATTTACTTACTGTTGTCTGTTCGAGACGGAATTATTATTGACCGTTTGAAAGTGTTTATCGAAAGCACAAATGTTCGCTTTTTTTTCTTTACGCAAAAAAGAATAAAAAATTTCGACTAGTTACTCATTGTCAAGGTGAAACAGAAAGAACACTCTTACTCAAAAAATAACGCAAAAAGAAACTGACATTTATTCTGTGCTATTTTGCATTTAGTCATCATGCTTTTTTCTTTAATGAAATAACGACACAGCTTTCTTTCGTTTCCAACTTGTAATAATATCAGTTTACCAAAGAATTGCACAACAAAATAGAAAGCATCTTTTAACCGCTTGAAACCTTTGTTACATAAAATACTCGGCAGATATAACTAATGAAATAATAATGATGAATAAAAAAAAATAAGAATTTTATTTCGAGACTATGATACTCGTCAAAGATAAGCAGAAGCAAAAATAAATCAAAAAATGAAAATTTTTATGATGACTTCACTTTAATACTTTTGATTAATACAAATATTTTGATAAATTATTAAGCAGATTTAAGCTTGTCGTAATCAATGACAAGAATTAAGCTTACGAAAAAAGCATTCGTTGTAATTTTGTTCTCATCGCTAGTTAAAGTAATTGTCAGGTGTGGGTATGTAAGTGTGGGTGTGGGTATGGGGTGTGAGTGTGAGTGGGTGTGGATGTGGATGTGGGTGTGGGTGGGTGGGTGTGGGAAATGAGAGACCCACACCCTCATGTAATAAAAAGAAATGAAAAATAATGCCCATATATCATTTGCCATAGTTAAAAAGAAGATCAATAATAAATAAATAAATAGACAACAAGTAAAAAAGAAATTTGTATCTTACTCATTTGCGAAGGTTTACCACATACAAATACAGCACTAGGTTACCACACGAATATGAGGTACTACGATTCACTATTTTTCAAAATCACAAATGATGATAAATCAATCGGAATCGTTGAAAAATTTTCCTGCAAAATGTACATTGTGCACTCTGTTTTTTTTAAAACCAAGTATACAGTAGCGTGTATTTCAGCAGCTGCAAATGTCTGTACACTTCGTTTCCACTGTGTATACTTCCCATTAGAAGTACTGTTGTGAGCGTGAACTATCTTATGAATAGAAAGTGGTAAAGACTGTCATTGTGTCCATTACATTTCTATTGATAAATGCAGCCATTATCGTAGACATACAGCTGTATATCAATCGCGATCTTGTAAATCCGAGTTGGACTAGCAAATTCGATCTGATGAAAATCTCTATATCACTTTATGAATTCGAGCCATGACCTTCAAACTTCTCAAAAAAGTGTTGAGACATGTGATGTCCCCACAAAGTGTATTATTTGATATTGATTCGATGAGTCATCGGGCTGTGGGCACATACCATATGAGGATATGGTCCTTAGAAGTGAACCAAAGTCCGCCACTCTCGATGTGATTCGAAATTCAGCGCGTTGACAATGACGGACTTTGGTTCACTTCTGATGACCTGATGATCTTACTACTGTCTGTTAAAAATTTTGTTTCAGATAGATAACCAATCAAATATAAATCCAATGTTTATCATTTAATATTTATCGATATTGTGATTTAGAATTTAATTATTATTTCTTTTTTCAATCGGTTTCGTCTCATTATAATATCACATTGAATGCACATGTGTAACGTTTACTTTACAAGATTATAAAAACAAATCAAAATATCGACATTCGTATTGAAACCTTTGCTCACGCATTTCAGCCATTCTTTTTTGTTCTCTCGAAATGTATATATTTTTTTCTTTACTTTTATACTTTGAAAAAAATTAAACAGCCGTTGGGAGAAGAATTAATTGTCTTCTCATAAATATTTGCGGGACGAGAAGTGAAAAATATTTAAATCAGTCATGGAAAACATGATTAAATTCTTTATATGACATACAAAGAGAAAAAGTGATGTACAAATTGCTTTTATGACACGTCCCTATTAGGTTGTTTTTATTACACTTTTTCGTTTCTTTGCATAAACAAGAAATTATACAATCACAAAAAAAACACGCCGTCAATAAAGACATAATTACGTATATAAAAAAAAAAAACAAAAATTTCGACGCAGCACACAATTTGAAAGAAATAATAGTAATGTCTGATAAAGTAACTCTATCTCTTCTCACTTTACCTATTGAAATTATCTATCGTATTCTTGACAATCTCGATGTATTATCAATTCTAATTTCACTTCGCGATGTTTGTACAGGACTGAATACAATCATTGACACATACCATAGATATCGGGTTAGTTTCATCTTTATCATCTCATGTGTTACGAAAATAGAAAAAGTTTTTCTAGTTCTTTTAAATTTTTCGCTCTCATACTGCACGATTTTCATGAATATCAGGAACGATTTGTTGTCATTAGAATAACTCCGAATGGGTTGTTTCTTGTTGAATATGAGATAGATGTTCACTTCGAATTAATTCCTCTCAGTTAATATGGTCCACAATTGAGATTGAATAAAGATGGTTGCTACACAAAAATCGTATAAGTTTATGTAGTGGTATCAGCTAAATAGAATTTGTAATAATCAAAAACGAAATAAAAAAAAGCATTAATAGACATCTTTCATCTATTGATGTTTTACAAACTCTACTCTAGGTATTATTCAAGTAAAAAATCTTCAGCTGAATCATGTTCTTTGAAACATTCTTGTCACATAAAAATAGTATAAGAATTAATGAATGTTTATCGATATCTCAACTATTGGAATGCTTTGTACGCCTACAATCTCCTTTGAATCTCACACAAGAATAATAGATATAGAATATTATATAAAATATATTCTGTACTACTTCCATGTCCAGAGGCCTCTACTTTCTCTCTCTTCGGATATGTTGTATTTTCTATTGCCTACCAGATCACTAAAACTACGCCCGAACTTTTTCCAAATAAACGTTCTGACAATATTTTTCTCTTTCAAAAAATATTAATATTCCAAAGCGTCCGAATACTTTTATCAATCATAAATAGAAAATACTAATTGTAGATTAAGATTAACAGAAACGTACAAGATCAAAAGCTACAATTTCATTTGAACTTTTCTATAGACACTTACTGTACTCGACCTTGAATTTAAGTTTATAGGCGATCAGAAATTACAACATCTAGTTAATGCATTATCAAGTAATATAGTAAGTGACATGTTCTCTACTGATCTATTACACATTCATCACTATTATTCAATATAGACTCTTACAACGCTAAATTTTT